AAAATAAAATCCAACAAATAACAGTACTTTTCTGCAATATTGTCCCTGATTATCTGAAATATAACAATATTGGACCATGTTTATTGGTAATTTTTGCAGTCTTTGCACATGTAGCTATCTTTCATTGAACATCCATTTATTTATTCATTTATTCAGCACTTTAACCTCCGTAGGGTGGGAACAAGAGCCTATTCCAGCTGACAGCAAAGACACCCTGATAGATCTGCAGTCTATGGTAGGGCTACACAGAGAGACAGACAACCAAGCACACTCACACTGACACTTACAAACAATTTAGAATCACCAATTAACCTCAGTGTGTCTTTGAACTGTGGGACAAAGCTGGAGCACCTGATGAGCCGGCACAAGGTGAACATGCACACTCCACACAGAAAGATCCTTGGCTACGACTCCAACCCGGGAACTTCTAGCTGTGAGGCAACAAGCTAGAAAGTGTATTTTAATGAAATTATCAGTTATTTTACTTCATATTTCTGTTCTCCAGCTGCTAAAATGTTCCTTTTTTTTTTTTTTTTTTACAGTGTAGCTTAACGTAAATGTTTCATTTTGTTAATGGGTTATTGAGGTCTTTCCGAATTATGTTTTCAGCAAAGTGGTCCGACCCAAAATTACAAAGCAGCAAGTCTGAATGAATTTGAAATTATGCATTGTTTTCATCTTGTTGTAGAATTGTTTAAATTGCAAAGTTAGTAATAAAGGTGACTTTTTAGAGATAGGGATATTATGTGGAATGTCTCATTGTGTTGTCTGTGTTCTACTTACCAAATCAGATGCATTTTTACTTTGCACATAACATGACTCATCTGCTGCATTGTCCTTTGGACAGATGTGTACATTTTCATGAGAGATTATTCATTTAGATCCAAGAGGGTTGCCAAATTTCCGAGGAGGAAGTAGCATACACGTAAGATCTGTCAGCATGTTTACCTCTAGTTCTGCTTACACAGCATTCTATGTAAGCAGGTACAGTACCAACCTTCACTCCCAAGTCTGAATGACTGCTTTCCCTGGGCTTCCTTGTTTTTCTCCTCATCAGAGACATGAATATCATTTGCGACTTTGACGGACTGCCTCGCCTTGAAGAATCTGTCCTGACACATTTAACTGGGTATAATAGGACCCTTGTCCTTGGCACTCACTACATCCACATGCTAGGGTGCCTGGTGTCTGGGATATGCCATGTACAGCGCCCTCCATAATTATTGGCACCCCTGGTTAAGATGTGTTAAAAGCCTTCAAATAAATTCAATTTTTGTTGCAGAAGCATACTCTCACACTGAAAATTGTAGAAAAATGTAATCTTCAACTCAATTCAAATGAATTGTTGACAAAAGGGGGTTGGACAAAGTATTAACATCAAGGGTGCTAATAATTGTGGCACACATGATTTGACGTAAAATAACTATTTTTTAATGTGAGATTTTTTTCACACTGAATAAATGGACTTGAATTAAAGGTTGAATTTTCCTCTTTTTTTCATTGTGGTCCTGTATTATTTAGAAAAAAAATGAATTTACTAGAAGCTAAAGAACACATCTTAACCAGGGGTGCCAATAATTATGGAGGGTGCTGTATGTAGATATGCCAAAGAACGGTTTCAGCTCCTTGAGGATGGTTTTAAGATTGTCTCCAGAGATGAGCATCCTCCACTGGTGTGTGCTCAGAAACCTGCTTGTCTGTGTACAGTTTGAAGTAATACAGCCTCGGTAGTTGTGGTCAGCAGTGTATGTTCCTTTACAAAATGATTCAAATTTAACAAAACTAAATGAAAGAAAAAAAGAGGTATTGTTTAATCTACTTTTAATAAAAGTTTTATTTGTTGTACAACTCAACAAGGTCAATGGTTTCCCAGAACAAGCTTTAAACTGATTGTGCACTCTATCATACCACTAAACCTAATTTACTTTAAATTTTTGAAATCTTTTTAAATTAAAGTTTGGACATACATTGAAAAATCAATGTTAAAATTACTTGCAGAAACACAATAGGTTTAAAAAAATAAAAAATAAGAAAAACTGTCGTTGACTTTATTTGTTGCCTAAAAATGTGGCTACAATTAAGTTAACATTTCTGCCATTTTGAAAAGAAAGTCCATGGGTTCTTTTTGTCACCCCAGCTGTGACAGAAAAAAGAAAGTCCAGAATGTGCTGTACAGTACAATAGGACTCAAATAGATTGTATAATTGGTGCTTGAATAAGAGGTCTCTTTATCTTGAGGGTATGTACTTCACTTATTACTTAACACAACAGTGAATCTTAACACAATTAGAAAGTCATACTCATTGTAGCTACTCTGACAGATCAGCATGGACATACTGTGCATTGCATGGAAAAATGGCAGTGTGTGTGTATGGGTGTTTTTTTAAATTGACTTGTATGAAATAAAGATTTCAGGGCGTATTGAAATTTTTACTGACATAACTATGAGTCTTGCTGCCAATTCAAAATGAGTGTCATCATTAACTAAGTTTTGAATACATGCAACTCGCTTTGGGCTTTTATTGGATCAGTGTGTGCGGCTTGCTTGATAGCTTTTGCACCTGGGGGAGCTGAAGGTGTGACGGATTCCCAGTAGAGAATGAAGAAGAGGTCTGGCAGGCTGGAGAGTTGAAGACAGGAAAACCTGAGGCATGGGTGATAGCAGGATTAGTCAATAATCAACTGCTGAAAGAAGGAGCAGAGTTAACCAAGATAACACAACCACCTGAGTGGCACAATGATCTGGCAGAGAACACGTGGTTGGACTGGGATTTATATGCTGCAGGCTGATTGTGTGATGTGGCATAGATACTGTATGTCTGCTATTGTGTAAAGTAGGTTGCCACATCTTGGCTCACAAACCCATACATACATTAAGAGAAGTGGGAAGAGAAGATAGACAAGAAACACCAGGGGTTGGGAACACAAGGGCAACATGAAGAGAAAGAGCAGGACACTGTCTGGACCATGACAGCATTTTGCCTAAACACAGGTATTTTACATTATGCGCTACTTGCAATTAAACAGATCATGCTTTTTGTTCTGACCTCCAGGGTGTTCTGCTTTAAAACTAATAAATATAATCAGCCAATAACACCTCAAATGTATGTATGCTGGAAGCCCAAGAACAAACCAGAGAAATCTTCAGTTCTCAGATGTAGAATTTATTTAGGTCACAGGTAAAGTGAGGCAGCGCTGGATTCAGAGGGACAGAGAGGAATCTCATGTCCAGCTGAACTGAGTTTTTTCGGTTTTAGGTTACAGATATCTTCTTGGGCTGGGACTGCCCCAAACATAGATCAGACTTGTACGCTACACAACCAGGCAGGAGATTTTTTGACATCCCACTTTTGATAAAATTCTATTATATCAACACAAATAAAAATCTATGTAAGCAGGTCTTCATTGCGTTGAGCATCCTATATGTATGCTGGCATGTGTAAGCTGCTCTTCATTGCTTTAACTTGCAGCAAACAATTCTTCATTGCACATGCATGTGGAAATAATAAACCGAACAATGCTAATCAAACAAACCAACCATCATGTTAAAGCATAAGCTAAACATTTCATATCAGGAGTAGCCGTCAAGGTACTGGGAACAGAACTCTCTTTTCCCAGGAGCATGCAGCCTTCTATAACTCTACTGATAACATTTCTGCAATGAGCACAGTAATAATAAAAAGCTATGAGTCTCACGCCACTACGTGTATGTGATGCTATATATGGATATGTGGTAACCTTAGTAACATCAGTGTATTTACAAGTTGTAGAAGCCATTTTATAATGGTCTTTATTAAGTTCAGTTTTACAGTGAAATTGAGTTTCATTTTATTTAAGTAAACCGTAAATTATGAATTGCATTATGTTAGGAATATTAAGGAAGGAAAACAATTTATTTTTTCTCTAAGTCTGAATTTATCTTAGTAATATTTGGTTATGGGTGGAGTATCTAATTATATTGCCGTGGACACAGGTGGGATGGTGTGGCCCT